CCTGAAAGTGTGTTCGATGTTCTGAGGTCACCGTGAGTGCAAACAGAGACAACTCATGGCAAAGCAATGCATTTCCCGGGCGAAGCAAACTGAGCATGCATGTCTCCCTCCCTTCGAGGCCATTTTAACTGCTTTGCTTAGCTAGTTAATTTGTTGATTTTGTAATTAATTAGTTAATGTATTTAGCTAATTTATTTCATCTTTGTAATAGTCTAATTAGCTTAGTATAGCTAGTTTCGATTTAGTTTGTAATTAATTACCTTAGCATAGTTAATTAATTGGTTTGTAATAAGTAGCTTAACTTAGTATAGCATAGCCTATTTATTCGGAACCTCCGTCGAGAGGGCAAATGTTGTAATAAGGGTGCGTTTGTGTGTGTATGTCTTCTAACCCCCACTTCTTTCTCCCTTTTACTTATTAGCTTTTGATGGTTAGTTTAGGGCATATTTCGATTAGCATACTTATGCTTTGCATGCGTGCATCATTCATTCGTATTGCATGCACTGGGCTCGGCTCATCATTCAAACTGCATTGTATTTTAATACTTCTTTGAATACATGTATCAAATTGTCGCATTCATATGCCATCCTAGATAGCCGAGCCTACTTAGTTGCATTTTGCATGTGTTGCATTAGGCATCTTGACATAGCTAGGTTCATGCATTAATTACTAACTAGCTTCTGTTTTGGCTCGGAGTATACTGTGAGTGTTTATGCTTTAGCATCCTTGCATGTGTGTAAGTGACTACCATGATAGTATGCTTGTCATGAGGCTATTTGCTTAACTGCTATAACTGCATGAATGCCTGTGGATGACGGCTTCATTGCTCGAATTGGAACAATTCATCAAAATGTGCGTTTTAAGCCCACTTGAAGTGGCAAATCATCATGTTTTAAGCCCACCTTGTTTGGTGGCAAATCCACGCTTTAGTCTACTTGCGAGTAGCAATTCCAAACCATTTTCGAAAAACAAACATGAGATGTTTTGTTCCAAATCGAGTGATTTAGTCTATACTTGTATGCTGTGCACATCACATAGTAAGTTAGCTAATAATCAAACAAGAACACATGTGTTTTCAAAACAACATATCATTTTAGTAGAGGCCGATCTTTGATCGGGTAAGCGGGGGTGCTCATTTCAAGACCTTCCCCTCTCGTACCCAAGTTTCCGAGCCGAGGAAACTTTGGTGATGACAGACACGTGGCCTTAGGCACGAGTTAGGGTTTCCTAAATTTTCCAAAACAAAATATTTAGGTAGCGACTTTGTAATTTGGCAAAGTAGTCCATGTTTGACACTTCTTGATCAAAATCGATTTTGCAAAACGATTTACCGAATTTGGACTCTTTGGTGATTTATCAGTCTTACATTGCACTTTGTGAGATTAGATTCAGAACCGTGACAGGAGTCCGAACTGTAGTAGCTAGAACCCAATTCGTGCCCTCGCGTGCGGAGAGAGTTCAGGGTGGTCTACACGTATCCGTCATCACCAAGATTGTCTCGGCTCGGGAACTTAGGTACGAGAGGGGAAGTTCATGAATTGAGCACCCCATTCGCCCAATCAAAGATCGGCCTCTATGATGTGATTCTTATTTACATTATATGCTCTTGTTCCGATTATTAGACTAGTATTACTATGTGTTGCACACAAGTATAGACTAATTTGCAAAAATTGGAATACTTTGATTCATGTTTGTCTTGAAAATTGTTTGAATATGCACTACTTGAAAAAGTGATCGCATATGTACATTACTCAAATTGTTCTAATTCAAGCAATTAACCTTCATCCACGGGCATTCAAGCAGATATATCAATTAAGCACTTAACCTTATAGCAAGCTTGCTTGATATGGAAACAATCACACTCATGCAACATGCTAAAGCACAAAAATGCTCATCTAGTACTCCAAGACAAGCCAAACAAAGAAAAAGAGTTAGAAAAATGCATGTTCCTAACTAATGCGATATGACTAATGCAACACATCCAAAATATAATTAATAGGGTCGGCTACTAATTATGACATGTGAATCAATTTGGTAGCATGCAGTTTAAACATGTATTCAACGAAGTAATAAACGGCAATGCTTGTTAGAATGATGAACTGAGCCTCGATACATGCAAGACAAGTGGATGCAAACATGGGAAATATTAAAAGAAACTTGATGTTCTAAACTACCCATTATTAACAAGTAAATAAAAGGGAGAAATACGTGGCGTTGGAAGACATATACATTATTACAAGTTCGGCCCTCGCCTAAGAGGGGTCTGAATGAATAACCTACCTAATTACTATGAATTAACTAAGTATTGCAAACCAAATGAAATAAATTAACTACACTAGCTAATTAACTAATCATTACAACAACAAATTTAATTAACTATTCTAACTAATTAAATAAGTACAACACAACTAACTAATTATTCTAACTAATTAATTACAAATTCGCTACTCCAAACACAATATACTAATATTACAACATCATTTCACCGATCCCAAGAATCAAGGGATTGCTCATGCATGGATACGGATTTCCACCCAAAAATGCTCTCCATTTTGTTACCGGAATGTCTCTGTTGCACAGTTAGAAAATTGTACTATTTTTCTACCTTAGCCTTTACTCTGCTTTGCTAGAAAAAGGACACTGCCTGCTTGGAAAAAGTGGCCGGCAACCCAGAAATAGTGGCCGGCCGGCCGGCCACTAATAGTGGGTTGTCGTCCTGTAAAAGTGGCCTGCCGGCCAGTAATGTTAGCTCTTTCCTACAGCAATAAAGGACAAACAGAGCACAAACCAAAGTATCCCCAGGGAATGTTTGTCCACCCTGCCTCTCCTTATCAGCAAACAGGTCAAAGGAGGGGTAAGCTTGATTCGCAGGTCATTAATTAGCGCAATTTCATTGCGTGATGACTTATGAACCAAGGGACACAATTTCAATAAATGCATAATGAAAGACTCTCAAAAACTTCCTCCCTATCATGATTGATCAAGGGAAGTGGTTGACTTTGGAAACTTGAACCATTTCATCACCAACAGGTATGAAATGACCCAAGTCTCCATGTGTTCAATTAACATCTGATTGAACACCAAATCATTTTATTATCTTGCTTTATTTTAACCCCAATTTATTACTTCATTTTAATTACATTTCCATTCCTTAATTCATTTAGTCCAAAAATGAAGATTAAGTCCACTAATGGAAAGAAGGGTCAAACAAAGGGTTGTTTTGGGCATGAGAGAGATGTTATGCCATTGATAATGAACCTCCGAAGAGATTAAACCATTAAGCACAACAATCTCAATCTCAAGCTTAAACAATCAATCGGTTGAAACAACTCTCAAAACAAATAAAATGCCAAGAAAAGAGGGAGGTTACAGAGATGATTAGAAGTGATCACAAGTATGGAAAGCTTGAAATAAATACTATCAATTCAAATAGGTTGGTGGCTAAGGCCTAAATCACCAAACCTATGAGGACCATTACACTACAAGCATGTTATACAAAGCATAAATGAAACTAACACATAAAAATAGTCCTAATATACACTAAAATGGTGCTGGAATTAAAGTAAAAATAACTAAAAGCGTAAGCTAAAATAATGGGAAATTAAAGCTAGTAAACAAGCCAAAGGAGGGGTGGCTAACCCCTCCATTTTTGGGACTTCAAAACCAAGTTTTCAGCCTCTGAAAATCTCTGAAAATTAGTGGTAATAGAAAGCTCAAAAAAATTTGATGAAGAGGTGGGAAACATAAGGGCAAAAGCTTAGGAGACAAGGTTTAAAGAAGGGTGATTAACCCCTCCACCTTTGGTAGCTTTAAACTACAAGTTTTTGCCCATAAAAATAGTGTAAAAACAGTTCAAAATTATCAAGAAAAGATAAAAAAACAAGTAGTGTAAAGATTCTCAAAATTATACCTCTTGAAGCAAGGCAACCCTTTTGTTAACAAACCTACAAGTTCTTACTCTCAAGGGCTAAAATTTGGACTCAATAATCTCAGCAAGGAGAGCACCAATATTGGTCTAGGAAGTGTTTGGGTAAGGTGTGTGTGTTACAAGATAGAGATAGAGAGAGAATTTCAAGTTTTGGGGCTTTTGGAATTTTTTGTAACCTAAAAACTTGAGGGTTGGCCTTGTATAAATAGAAAAACAACCTCTCAGGCCGAAAATATTTGTATAGGAACAACTGGAGCTTTTGGGGGATAGCTGGCAACAAATATCTGCATGGCCACTATTAGTGGGTGGCCGGCCACAAAAATCTACTTCCAGACCCGATTTCAAACAGGTATATCTTCTTCATCCGGACTCGGTTTTAGATCATTCTTGAGTCTAAATTAAAGCCCCAGAAGTTTACTTTCCAATGGAGGTGGCATCATATCTAAATTCTAAGTGTGCAAAGAGATATGCCTATTGTAGTGAAGGTTGCTCATTTCTATCTTAATCGGATTGATGCCTAACTTCAAACGGCCATATCTCCCTCATTCGGACTCGACTTTAGGAGATTATTGAGTCTAAATTGAAGCTCCGGAAGTCCAATTTCCAATGGTGGTGGCCTCACAACTAAAGTCTAACTATACAAAAAGATAGATTTGATTTATTGAAGGCTGCTCAATTCTCTCTTAAGTGTTTCATGCTCAACCATTTCCCCAACTAGTTTTCTTCCCTTCCTTCCTATTTTCTTCAACTCTAAACCTAAAAATAAGATGTTTTTAAAGATTTTTCAAAGAGTTCACCTCCCTTTCATTTATTTCCACTCTGTCCTTACTCGGTTTACTGAAAAGTGCAATATTTTAAACAAAATGCGAGCCTTGGAACATCGTAGAAATATTTTGAAAAAATGGGTTTTTAGGTCTAAAATAGTTTTGGTCTAAAATGGTTTTGGTCAAAAATGGGGTGTAAGGTTGGGATTTAAAAGCTTTTCTTGCTGAAGAAATCGAACGTTTGTACAACATAACTTTCATCATCGAGTGATCAATCAGTGGTGCCCAAGTCTTAAGGGTCGTCAAAAATGGGGTGTCTACAGCTAGCCATCAAAGACAATGAAGAATTAGAAGCATATCTATGGTATCTTGACAATGGTGCACGTAATCACATGTGGGGCGACAAAAGCAAATTTGTGGAGCTTGATGAAACTTGGAGAGGTCAAGTTACTTTTGGAGACTCCTCAAAAGTTCCAATAATGGGCAAAAGTACAATTTTAATTCGTTTGAAAAATGGGGATTATAGAATTATGTCTAAAGTATATTTTGTGCCCAAAATGAAAAATAATATTTTTAGCTTGGGTTAACTTTTAGAAAAGGGTTATGAAATTCAAATCAAGGTCCGTACCCTTTCTCTAAGAGATGAAATGAATAATTTGGTTGCTAAAGTTTCAATGACCCGAAATAGAATGTTCTTGTTAAATCTTCAAACCGACATGGCCAAGTATTTGAATGCAAGTGTGAAAGATAAGTCTTGGTGTTGATACATGAGGCTTGGACACTTGAATTTTGGAGGGCTAAAGTTGATGGCCAAAACAAAGATGGTGCATGGGTTTCCCTTTATCAACCATTCGGAACAACTATGTGAGGGGTGTCTATTTGGAAAACAATTCCATAAGTCATTTCCAAAAGAATCGACTACTAGAGCTACAGAGCCACTGAAGCTTGTGCATACGAATATTTGCGGTCCGATTAAGCCATCATCATTTGGTAAGAACAATTATTTTCTGCTTCTCATTGATGGTTTTAGCAAAAAAAGCTGGGTTTATTTTCTGAAAGAAAAATCCAAAGCTTTTTGAATTTTCAAAAAATTCAAGGCATTGGTTGAGAAACAAGGTTAGTGGCAAAAGGTTATAGTCAACGTGTTGGGATTGACTACGTTGAGGTATTTGTCCCTGCTTCCCGTTTAGAAACTGTAAGGTTGTTGATTTCTCTTGCTGCCAACAATAATTGGAAAATTTATCAAATGGATGTCAAGTCTACGTTTCTGAATGGGTTTCTTGAGGAAGAAGTGTACATCAATCAACCTATGGGATATGTGATCAAAGGCTAGGAAGATAAGGTTTTCAAGCTAAAAAGAACATTATATGGGTTGAAACAAGCACCAAGAGCATGGAATACTCGAATTGAGAAGCATTTTATATCAAATGGTTTCAGTAAATGTTTATATGAGCATGCTCTTTACTCTGAAGTGAATGGAAATGGAGATGTCTTGGTTGTTTTCTTGTATGGGATGATCTTATTTTTACAGGAAACAATCCAAGCATGTTTGTGGAATTCAAGAAAGCAATGATTCGAAAATTTGAGATGACTGATATTGGACTCATGGAATACTACCTTGGCATTGAAGTCAAGCAGATGGAGAAAGGCATATTTATTTCTGAAGAAGGATACACGAAAGAAATACTCAAGAAATTCAAGATGATTGATTGCAAGCTTGTTAACACCCCCGGGGAATGTGGAGTCAAGCTAACAAAGCATGAAGATAGAGAAAAGGTGGATGCAACTCTTTTCAAGAGTCTACTTGGAAGTTTGCGGTACTTGACTTGCACAAGACGGGATATTCTTTTTGGGGTTGGGCTGGTAAGTTGCTTTATGGAAGCACCCACAATGACTCACTTTAAGGCTATGAAAAGAATTCTTCATTATGTTAAAGGAACAATTGATTTTGGCTTATCTTATTCATCCTCAAATGAATACAAGCTTGTTGGCTATTGTGATAGTGATTGGGCTGGAAACTTGGATAATAGAAAAAACACTACTGGCTTTTTGTTTTTCTTGGGAAATACAGCTTTTACTTGGAGTTCAAAGAATCAATTGATAGTAGCACTTTCTACTTGTGAACCTAAGTACATTGTTGCTACATCATGCACTTGTCATGCAATTTGGTTGAGAAATTTTATGAAGGATTTGCAATTTGCACAAGAGGAAGCGACGGAGATCTTGGTTGATAAGCAGTCAACAATTACCTTCGCCAAGAACCCAGTGTTTCATGATCGAAGTAAACACATTGATACGAGGTATCATTTTGTTAAAGAATGCATTGCGAAAAAGGAGGTACAACTCAAGTTTGTGAAATCACATGATCAAATTGCTGACATATTCACAAAGCCGCTCAAGTATGAAGACTTCACCAAGTTTCGGACCCTGCTTGGAGTTACTAAAAGTCAAGTTTAAAGGGGGGGTGTTGAAATAATAAACATGATTTTAGTTCAATTAATTTACACATTTTCTAGAAGTATCTATTTATATTTTATTCATGCATTATTAATGTTCATGTATTTTTGAGATTCATGTATTCCTAGAATGAATATATCTAGGAAGATTCATGTATGGTACATTGGATATAAAAGATGTATTGGTCTCTTGGCTTGTTCATTAGAGACTACAAATACCTCATGTACCAAAGTGTTTTAAGTAAGTGGAATCAAATATTTAAGAGTTAAGAATTCATCTTCCCTATTTCAATCTCTCTAGCCTTTGTGTGATCCATTTTATTTCCAACAGTTATCTCCTAAACAATGAAGACATCTTCGTTACCACCATGATGGCTTAGGTTGGGAGCAAGGCTTGGGAGTCTTTGCTCAAGATCACCGGAGGACTTGTCACTTTGAGTCTAGAGTTGAAATGATTGCTAAGGTCGTTCGACCTACCCCCTCATGGTACCTATATATAGACACCCCATTGTGACTGACCATAAGAATTCAGGCACTTGAAAGCTTCCCGATGATGAAATGGTAATTATTTCATCCCTAGAGATGCTTGAAGTTGTTACAAGCTGCTGTAATACCCCATTTTAAGCCAAAATCGTCTTTTTGTAAAAATGACCATCCTACCCCTGAACCCAATTTTAGCCAAAACCCAACTCTTTGGTCCCACTTAGACGAACGAGAGAGAGAAAGGTCTAGTTAAACCTGAATTGATAATATTTCTCAAAACCAATGATCAATTTTATCCAAAAAATCGATTGAGAGGTAAACGAGCTTACTTAGGCAAGAAGGAAGCCCAAAGGCATAGAAACCCGCACCTTAGCATGTGGAGTGACACCTGGACACTAAGGTAGCACGTGTGCCCGCACGTGCTTTGTACCACCGCAACTTGATTGTGTGCCCGCACATACCTTGTGCAGCTACACAATCTATGCGCATATCTGCCCAAGACCTAGAGTTCAGTCCAAATTTGAACTGTTGGTGCGTTTTGCCTAGGACGTGCAAGGAGGAAGCAATGGGGCAACCCTAGCACGACCTAGAGTGATCCCCAATGCTCCTCTTTGCCTATAAATATAGCCCCTACACCCCCTCCCCTTCTTTGAGGGACCATGCTTTAAGCAAATTTTAGAGTGTTTTAGTGAGTTTTGAATTGCCTCCTCTCACCCTAAACCCTAATTCCGAAAATACAAACCTTAAACAGCAATTTTAACAACTAAAAGTGCATCTAGGGTTTGAGAAAAGTGCATGAAGTCAAAGCCATGCCTAAAGGAAGCTTGCAAGCAAGGCAATCTCGCCTTTCTCTTTGCTTTTCGGTTTGATAATCAAACTATCAAGGTACTAATCTTGTTCTTATTTAATTTCAGTAGCTTCTAATTATATTTTGATTATGTAATCATGATTAGGGTGTTAGTATAGCATAAAGCATCATGTAGGTTAGTCAACTTACATGTTTTTGCTTTATTTTTGAATGTTTTGTTTAAGTTATATAAACAACATGTTTAGGTTAGTTTATTCATGATATAATCATGCATATAGCCCAATTTAAGCATTGTATATCCCAGTATGTTTAGATTATTTTATGTGATAGTGCTTTATTTACATTAAATTATGATTAGTTGCCTTAAATTGAACTTAGGTTCATATTGCGTGTGTTTAGTAGCATGTTTACGTCATATATACTATTTTATTCATATCACACATATTTGACGCTTTGCGGTGTAATCCAGATAAGTCCCTTGATCTTCATACCATATTGTTGTTTTGGTGGTTTACTTTTAAATAATGCAAGTTAGGTGTCATTCATGATAATTGAATGTTTTGAGGGTTTTTACAAATATTGCTAGTTTGGGTTGAGTTTATAGCCATATTATGGTAAAAATTACTTTTTGTTGGAAATCCTTATTTTATGGAAAATATGTGACTTTATTCTTTTAAATCCAAATTAAGTAGTATTTATTTATTCAATCACCTAATTGTTAGGTTAGTAAAGGAATAGGTCAATCACAAGTATACCACTTCATTTTTCTCAGGAAGCAAGTATATATATATATATATATAAGAAAAAAGAAAGAAGATGAAGAAGAAAGTGCACATGGCACACACACAAAAGAAAAGAATAGTAATTAATAAAAACATAGCAGATAATATTGAGTATTGCCCTTTGAGGAGAGTCGCTAGTGGGAGAGTGAAAGTGGCCTTGTTTAGGAATTGGTTATTTTAATAATTTTTTTGATATTTTACGAAAAAAATGTGTAGAAAAATAGAGAAAGTGATACGATAATTTAAACTGACTTATCGAGTAAAATATTTAATCCCCAAATAAGAGAGTATGAACGAAAGCCATTCATGAAGCTGGTTCCTGAAATCCGAGAAAATCCCCTATAAAATGACTTCATTTTTCCCTCCTTCCTTCCTTGTAGAAAACAAATAATATATACGAGTCCCCAACAAGAAGAAGCTTTTGATAATATTTAAGAAAATACCAGACTTTAAACTTTGTGGTGTTTGCTATTGAATTATTCATATGTATGTAAACGTAATGTAATAATGTTAATATATTCAGAACCACCTCCCTCAACTACTTCAAACAAATCCCACCTCTCGCACTTCACTGTTTCTGCTGTTTCCGTTGAGTCACACTTCCCTTGCCCGACAGCTTATTCTGTGGACGTGCCTATATAGTCAGCTAGTGTGTCATACGGAGGTTCTGATTGGTGTTTATTTGGTTATAATTTTCAGAAGGGACGGGTTTTCCTCCGGTTAAATATTGAATTGGAAGGTATTGTTGGACCCATGAGACTCATTATGAGTCCTATTTTGATAATTTGAATATTCAATATGTAAAACTCATCAAGTACTATATGTCTGTAAAAAATTACCGTCCTTTTTTCACCGTTTATTTTTTTTATACAAAACTTATTTAAACACGTAACTATCGATATCCGATCAACATAATGTTTTACAGGTACATAATACTCGACGAGTTCTACACATTGAACGATTTTGATTATCAAAACAGAACCCGTGATGGGCCTGTAAAGTACCCTCTAGTCTGATGTAAGACTAGAGACAACCCAGATCCTTTTCAGAAATTACTTTTAAATAGATTTTCGTTTGTAATTTTTTTTTTATTTTAGTTAAATTTTTTTATTTTGTAAATACATCAAAATTAGATGTATTTAAAAAAAAATTTAAAAAGTAACTAAAATATTTTTAAAAATCATTAAAAACAAACGAAAATTCAAACAAAAATTCACACGGATTTTTGTTCGAATTTTTATCTATTTTTAATGATTTTTTAAAATATTTTAACCAATTTATTTTATTTTTTAGATTCATGTACATCTAAAAAGTCCAAAAAAAAAAAATGATTAAACTATAAAAAAAAAATCACTAAAAATAAACTAAACTCATCTAAAAATGTCAAACCAAACAAACACAATTTTGTGTTCGGATATGTAGGAGTAGTTGGTGACATGACAATTAGTGATCAGCGATTAATAATTTTTTGCCTCAAATAACATTACAAGAAAAAACACATTTAGCGACTAAATTTTTAGTCGCCAAAAGTTAATTTTTAGTCGTTAAAAGTCGGTTTTTAAGTTTCTCTGACTAACTTTTTTAGTTGCCGGTTTGGTCGCTGGAAAACAGTCGAGAGAGGTATTGGCGACTAAAAAACTTTTAGTCGCCAAAAAGCAAGTCTTTACCGACCAAAACTTTGGTCGCCAATTGTCAATTATATTTTTTAAATTATACTTTTGGCGACTAAATTTTTAGTCGCCAATAGTCAATTATATTTTTTTAAATTATACATTTACCGACTAATGTTTTAGTCGCCAATACTCAAGGAATCGGCGACCAAACAGATTTAGTCGCCAAAAGCTCATTCCGGGGAAAAAAAAAATTACACCCTGCTCTTGTGGAGATTCAAACCATCAACCTCCCACACCATAAACTTTATACAACACACTCCTTCCACTACGTCTCCATAACATCATATGATTATATATGCAACATATATTATTTATATAGTACTTAGACTCGTATTAATATCAAAGTATATATAAATATAATTATTTTTTATTGAACATAATTTATGTAAAAATAAATTATTTAGTAGAAAAAAAAGGGACACCACTTTTGGCGACTAAACATAATTTTAGTCACCAATTCTATGCTTTTGGCTACTAATTATTTTTTAGTCGTTAAAAAAAAATTTCCCGCGCTAAAATTACCACTTTTGGTGACTAAAATTCTTTTTAGTCACCAAAAAGCCTCACTTTCGGCTACTAAACATGTTTTTAGTCGCCGAATGCTTCACTTTTGGCTACTAATGTTTTTTTAGTCGCCAAAGGGCCTTATTTTTGGCTACTAAAATTTTTTTAGTCGGTAAAAGCTTCACTTTTGGTGACCAAACAGATTTTTAGTCACCGAATGCATCACTTTTGGCTACTAAATTTTTTTTAGTCGCCAAAAGTCCTTGATTTTGGCTACTAAAATTTTTTTAGTCGCTAAAAGCCATATATCGGCGACCAAACAGATTTTTATTTGCCAAAACCTATACTTTTGGCTACTAAATTTTTTTAGTCGCCAAAAATCTTTACTTTGGGCTACTAATGCATTTTTAGTCACCAAATGCTATACTTTCAGCGGCAAAATGTGATTTTTTAGTCGCCAATAGTGTTTTTTCTTGTAGTGTAGCCAATGATACAACCAATTAGGGGTAGGGAACGGTTTATTCGATTCGCAAAAATTGCCTAATTCGTACAACCCGTATATAAATAGACGGTTTTACAAATATAATGCGGACAAATGCGATTTGAAATATGACATGTTTGCGGGTTGCGGGTTTAACCCGTACCTGCAAGAACCCGCCTGCACTTTCTTTTTTTCTTTCTTTTTTTCATATCTTAACCATTGATTTCATTCCTATATCCCACCTAGATATTTTTGCCCAAAACAAAACAC